TTTGATGTGACATCAGTGGAATCTCGTAGCATTCATTCCCTTAACAAATACTGTATTGACTGAGTGGTTTCAGTGTACCCGGCTTTGTGATTGGAGCGGGAGATAAACAATGAGCAAAGCAGACATTTCCATTCCCGCTTGAAGCTTAGTTTAATTTTCTTTGAGAGGCTGTTACAGAAAACAACCTCTGATGGATTTGTTATTAAAAGCAGAGTTACTATGTATGTTTAATGTTTCTTTTTATTAACTCCACCATAAAATAGTGTCTAAGTCACCTTGTTACTTAGTCTCTGGAAGAATTAGATACATTCCTAACTAATAGTAAACAAAAATCATGATAACACTGTTATACTAAAGCTTTAAGTTTTTTCCCTCTAAAGAATGTTCTTCATGCTCCTATGGAGGGTAAGATCGCAGGATTTAGAACTGAATAGACTTAGATTCAAACCCTGGCCTTATCACTGGGAAGTCCCTTGTCTTTCTGAGCTTCAATTTTATCTGCTGGAAAATAAAAATAATAGCAACCTCTCTAGCTTGTTAGGAGGATTGAACATGCAAAACCAGGTAAATCCCTTAGCGTGCACGTAGGAGGAGCTCAGTAATCGGTGGCTACTTCCAATTTTATTATTCGATAGTTATTCATGGCACTGTGTATTAAAGTCAATAAAATTACATGCTCCAGGCATGGCCCCAAGTGACCTCCTTTCTACAATCCTGGACTGTTAACAGAATTTTTTTTTAACCATCTTCACTAACCCATACCCTTATTTACTGTATTCTTCAATTTTGTTTTTATTGTTGATGGTAATGATTTGTTTTTCACTTAATTTTTTTGTTTTGCTTTTATCTACTTATTTTGCCTTTGGCCCAGTGATGACGGGCCATGATGATTTCTTAGAAGGGTAGACCTTGTGGCATAATTTCATTTTTAAATGTATCCTCCTTGTAGGTGGAAGATCTTGCCAGAAGGCTGAGAGCCAGGCTTTCATGGTGGCCACAGTTGCCTGTGCAGCTGTACCCAAGGTAACTCTGGTCATCCGTGGTTGTTTTGGCAACGAAAGCTAAGCCACGGTAATGGATCGGAGATATTTTGAATACTAGGTCACATAAGATGAGTTTTATTGTTTTCCCAGATACTAAATAGTACTGAAGCCATTCCAAATGGTGTCTTGATTCCATGAACAGTCCCAGAAAGAAGGTAGAAATATTAATTTCAACTTCTCCCTGGTAGCAGCCTGTGGTCCTGCACTCAGAACTACTGCTGACCATCAAAGGTAAAAGTGGATACAGCTTTAATAACGTTATTATCAAGGAAGATATGGGGACATCACAGAAAACAAGGAATATTGAGAATCCTGGGCTCTGACCTACTCATGGCTCTGTAAGTAAACAGACTTGAGGGAAGACATAACATTTTCCCATATCTGTTTAATCAACTGAAATGTTAACTATAGTGTAAACTCATAGACTCTGGAGCCAGATTGCCTTGGTACAAACCCTGTTTTCGCTGTTTAACAGCTACTGGACAAGTTCATTAACCTCTCTCTGTCTCAGTTTCCTTATTTGTAAAGGAAGTAGTGCCTACTTCATTTAATCGTTAAGATTAAATGAGTTAATGTGTGGAAAATGCTTAGAAGAGTGCCTAGGGCATAGAAAGTGAGTAAGATGACCCCCACATCAGGCTGCTGTTTGGTAGGGGTCAAGAGAGTGCCCAGCCTGGGCGTAAGGCCGTCCTTTGCAAGCATCAGCAGCAGGGTTCAAGAGAGTGCCAGTGTCCTCAAACAAAGACTGCCTTCTGCAGGACCCCTCATCTCCATCAGCAGGAGCCAGGTGTGAGGCCCTGATCAGTTCCTGCCTCTGGCAAGACACCCCCATACCTCCCTCTCCTAAACACTCACAACTCCTCAGCCTTTGTGCTTTTGGTGCATCAGAAATAACGTCTTGATGCCCTTCATCACTATTCTTGCACTCCTGGGCCTCTCTCATACTCTGGACTCCAATTCCGTAAGACTCTGGACATTGATCCTGAATTCTTATTCCTATGGCCCAAAGCAAGGGTTGCTCTTGTAGAGGGGAGATACCCATTTGCTCACCTTCTGGAAGGAGATGAAGATATGCATATGGATGAATACACGTTAAAGGAACTTGGGAAACAGTATGTTTTGGGATTTCTGTTGCTAGTTTCTTAAACATATTTGTTATCCATCTAGTATAATATTATGAACATCTTGAAATAAGAAGTGTCTGTAAACAGACTAGTCACAGAAATATTAGGTATGATTCTTTCATCTTTAGTGGAATCCCTGGCATATTAAATACTCAGTACACATGGTTACTATCATTCAAGGAGCATTTTGGCCCACTAATCAATAGTGAGAGTTACTGAACAAAGATTTTATTTGCATTCAGACTGATACTGGCTCAAGACAATGTTGACATAAAGGAAGCCATACTGTAGAAAAGAAAAACTCTATTGTAACTTTGAATGACCTCTGACAAACTAACCCAGCTGGATGTGCACCTTCCAGGAGATTTAACTGCTCTGTAGATTTTATGACCCCTGCTTGTGCATGTTCCTCTCAGCTGTGATAAGATGATAACTGCTTTTTTGAGTTCCTTAGGAATGTGATGACCCCCGAACAGAGAATCTATGCTGATAGCCATCATCAGTGAAAACTGAAAGATCTGGTGTGGCGCTCCCAGTCTGTAACACCAGGAGGTCAACATTCCTAACCCCTCCCCAATAACCCACTGGCCTATATAACTGCTGTAAGATTTCGTGCCCCCTTAAGATGGTTCTTTTGGACACGAGTCGGCCATCTTCCCTCTTGCTAGCAAGCTGTAATAAAAAGTCCATTTTCTCCTACCACCTTGCCTCTTGACTATTGGCATATCTTGTGGCGAGCAGAAAGCCCCACATTGGGCGGTAACAAGACTTGATGGCTAAGTAGTATGATAGTGGTTGTATTTGAAATAAAATTTTAAAATAGTAGGAATATTTCAGAAGGTATCAGAAGCCAAATTTTCAGTGGGGGAACTGTTAGGTTTAGACTTCAGTTTCAGTTTTGCTACTCATTAGAAAATTAACTTGGCCTCTCTTTCTTCAGCTTTAAAATGGTGAAGACAGCACCATGATGGGTGTAATATTAGGAGTAATTTCTGCTTTTCTGTACAAGTCAAAGGCACTCACTAAGTGTGTTTCCTTTCTTCCTGTCTTTCAGAGATGGTTTTCTCATTGAGACTGAATTTTAGCGGAGTTGGTATTTCTTAGCGGTGTGCCTTAGGAGATCCCTTAGGGGATATTTTCTCTATAATCCAAATCATTGATACTCTTTCTATCAGGTTTACAGAAAAAAACATTGCACTTTATTCTTCAGCCAGATGTGGGAATAATGGGGGAATAATACTGCCACAGAATTCTTGGAAGGTAGGCTGCCTTTGCTGTCTGTTAGTCTTTTCTGGTTTAGAATATTGTACAGGGGTTGTCTGCCATGAGCCAGTTATCAGTTTCTAATTACCTTTTCATGATATTGTCACAGGATTTTTTATCCTTTCCCCTTGGCTCTGACAAATATAAGGTGCCCAACATGGAAAACAATTGACTCCAAACAACTTGTTATTTTAAAAATAACTACTTATTTATAGGTTTATTTCTCTTAATTCAATTGAATTTTTTCCTTAAAACAGATTTGTTTATAGATGGGACAAAATTCTCTAGGTCTCCCAAATGGGTAGCTCTGGTTCCTTGAAAGCAGGGTCCTTAATTTTTTCAATCTGAATTTCCAAGTTAATCCCTCTTAATTTAAGTTTTTAACGATCATGTTCCATCTTTGGATTTGAAAAGCAGCTCCTAAGCCTTCTCGGTATAATATTAGCAATGATTGTGTAGAGAATTCCAATGCTGGTGAAAAATAATGATTACATTAAAAATCCATAGGAGAAAAAGGATGGAAAAGACCAGTACCTAAATCTTAATAATATTTAAGCTTAGGTGAGCTCTGTATGATTTTACTTTATAATTTCCACTTTTCTGAAATTTAAGATTTTCTTTGAAAAGTTTTAATGAGTATTTATAATTTAAAAAATGAGGTTGCATTTTATCTAAATAAAGAAATCAAATGAATGCACCAAGTACTCTGGTCAGTCTGTTCCTTCAAAGTGTTTTTACTTAGTCAAACACAAGGCTGATCATCTTAAATATAAGGACATGTTAATACTTTTGGGCATAAAATAGATACCAGGATTAGGGTATAGAATAACGTTTTTTTGTAAATCTCCATTTCTTTTGCAATATGTTGCACAGAATAGAATAATTTTAAAAATAAAAGTGCTTAAAATCTATTAATATCTGAATGTTAATGATTTAATATTTTTTCTTTTTCTCTGTTTTCCATCAGGTGATTGCACGGCAGTTAAATACAATTAAATGGAAAAGGCAACAAAGTATAACCCCCCCAACATAATCCTATACTCCGATTTTAAGAAGAAATATTTGTAAGTATTTTATGCTCTGTTTTTCAAAAAATTACAGTCACTACTATCTATAATTGCTTTGATGTTATATAAGCTTTTAATAGATAACTTAATCTCTGAAATGTTATTTGGTTGAGAGCCCTCAGTTGGTCAGAGATAGCTTTCCTCATTGTAAAATCGGAAATAGTAGTAATTGCCTATATTAAATGGAATGTTAAAGTTCATTAAGCTTGAGAATCTTTAAGCAGTTATATATAAATGCACACAATTACTTTGATGACTCTTAGGTGATAGTCCATGGGTTGAGAAGAAGTTTGGTTGACATTTAGTAATTAAGCTTTTTTGCATGATACTGCCTTGATTCAGCAAAGCCACACACAAATCAGGTGTAGATGACTTTGGCTTTTAAATGTTAAAAAATAATTGGAGCAGATAAGTACCTAAAATACAATTTTATAATTGGAATAAAAAATAGTTTAATAAATCCACGTTCATTTTCTATTTGACTGCCAAGTATATGAAGAGGTTTTTAGTTATGGTCTGTCTGTCTCACAGAGAAAGAGTGATTATCCAAACATGTACTTTTTTTTTTTAAAGGAATTGCTTGCTCAACTCTGTGCTTTCCGTACAGCATTGCAAAATTGTGTGCATCTGCAAGTTAAAACCATATACTACAGCAGGCTAAAACTGAACAGAATTTGACTGTCGATCTGACTCTGTTTTCCTCGGTTTTTGTCACCAGAAACGTATCTTGCTGGAGTGTGCTCAGGATTTTTTGAACAGTCCGTGAAAGGTGACAGGGATGTTAATCTCCACTTCAGCCCGGGCAACTTCGCTCAAGTCCTTGGCATTCAGAACCAGGAGATACGCGGGCTTCTGTCCTGCCCCAGGGCTCACCACCACGCTCAGAACCACACCTGTTAATCACAAGTAAATAAGGCAACGTTGGATTTAAAACAGCCCCAGGCCACAGATGAAATGTCATTGAAATAACATAGGAGGTATTACACTGACGAATAAAGAAAACCACACGACTCATATCTTGTTCTGATTCTTCCACCACCTGGCTGTGTGACCATCCTGAAGGGGTCTTTTAAACTCTTCGTGTCCCTAGACTATAGGCTCTAGGCAGGGAGTGACCATATCTGTGTTGCCCACTGTGGTATCCCGCTAGCCCACTACAGTGATTAGAACATGGCAGGTGTTCATTAAATTCCTGTTGAATGAATGGGTCTGCGTTTTTATCTGTAAATAAGATTTAACACCTGCTCTACCTACTGCAAAAAAAAAAAAAAAGTGTTATGAGAATCAAACACAAAATCTATATTGTAAGCCTTTGAAAACAGTAGATATATTATTTCTTTAACTCCCAAGACCTAGCTGGAAGCTTAGTTCCTTCAAGCAAAATGAGAACAAACCTTTTGCAGTTTTGAGTGGATTGGCTGTATATGTAAAATCATATAACATGAGATGGCTCTACAATTTTTTATTTTATTCATTTCTCTCTGGTTTTCCATATTTTAATCCCAGAGAGTGAAATCTAACTCCTTGTCCCAGCTAACCAATAAATTAATGCTTTTTAATTGAGTTGCTGTGTTATATGCTGTGGCTCTGGATGTGTTTCTAGCCCCAGCTTACTAAAAGAAAAAAAAAACCAGAGTCACAAAGGTACATTCTTATCCTCTTTGATCTGTTAGAATACTTGGTTTTCCTCCTTAGAACTCTATCTTTTTTCAGAAATGTATCTAGGTCAGGAAAGGCAAAAAAGTAGAATTCATGCTGCTCTTTTTCCCTCCTTCTCTCCTTCATCTAGAGCAGACACCAGTGTTCCATCACGATGCCAGATGGTGCATCTTTTCCACTAGAAATCAATGAGATGCCAGCCCTGGTGGTCTAGTGGTTAAGATCCAGCGCTCTCACTGCCGTGGCCCAGGTTCCTTTCCCAGTCAGGGAACCACACCACCCATCTGTCGGTTGTCACACTGTGGCGGCTGTGTGTTGCTGTGATGCTGAAAGCTATGCCACTGGTATTTCAAATGCCAGCAGGGTCACCCATGGTGGACAGGTTTCAGCAGAGCTTCCAGACTAGACAGACTAGGAAGAAGGACCTTTTCTGAAAAAATTGGCCATGAAAACTCTATGAATAGCAGTGGAGCACTGTCTGATACAGCGCTGGAAGGTGAGAGGATGGCACAAAAAGACAGGGCAGGGTTCCACTCTGCTGTACACAGAGTCGCTGGGAGTCGAAATTAGTTTGTTAGCACTAACAACAAAATCAATGAGACCTGACCACAGATGATACTTATTTTCAAATAAGTTTAAATTCTTTAGTGGTGTCTCATTCAGTAATATTAAGGACCATTTCTGACCATTAGGGAATAATCAACATAACTCCTCTCCTAGTGAGCTAACTATATGAACTCCAGGAACAAGAGCGTTTTCAGATATATCCATTGCTTTCATTACCATCATCTTCTTCCAAGGCATCTGGGTGAGAAACAAAGATGGGTTCTGATGGGTAGGAATCAGGCTCTTGCCATACCCAAGTTTCTTTAGTCTTGACATTCAGTTTACAGAGCTATTTGTAAGAAGAAAAAATCAATCAATCAGTCGGTCAGTCAATGTGCTTTACCTGACTTAGTATATGACTCAGAGTACTGATCCAATGTTAGTAAGAGAGAGTAATTACCCTGTCTGGAACAAAGTGATTCAAGCCGAGTCCATATGCGTACGTATAAGGTTTCCCACCGTACTTCTGGTAATTGATTTGAGGAAACTCAAATGCTACAAAATAGAGCACACGCTTAGGGAAGCTCAGTTAATCTCTTTGAAGGGAACATTTTGTTTCCTCTCCTGTGAGGTTCTTCTCTAAATCATCTCACCTTGGCGAGGCCCTGAAAAGAGCACCTCAGGTTCCAGCCAGATGGTCTCGTCACTGCACAGGATCGCAGTGGCTGTTGTGCTGGGGAGAGTCACCAAATTCTTGCCTGTGTCAGCCTAGGAAAGAGGATAACAGAAACCTCAGGGAGCAGGAAAGAAAAGTCGAGCACATAAATGCACTCTTCCCATTGTGTCTCCTGAGTTCTTCATTTCTTAAGTCAACATGTAGGGAGAAGCAGTGCAGAAAATTCTAGAAGGAGGAGCCGAGGAACACGACTGGGAAAGCTGTCTGTGCATGTGTCAGTCACTGGCTGTGTATCGCTGAGAAAGTCACACAACCTCTTAGGCCCTCAATCTTCTCGTCTGTAAAATGAGACTGTCCTCAAAGAATAAGGCCTCTGAGGACAGACCTTGGGAAAAAAAATATTTTTCTGCAGAACAGCAAAGGCTTAAATCTCCTAGGGATCCATTTACAGTGTTTATCTCTTCTATAGTTAGGATATTTTTTTGATTTTGTTTGAAAAAAATCATACAATTATTTTGTCAAAAAGAAAAAAATAGAATAACTGCCGAACCAGATGTTTTCTAAGATCTCTTGTCACCCACATCCCCCACCACGTGATTTTTCAGATTATTTTACGAATATAATATACTACAAGCTCTTTCTAAGAACATATGCCTTTATTAACACCTATATCAAATACTTGACTACATATTTTGTGCTAGACTCTATTCTAGGCATTTGGGATATTTCAGAGAATAGAGTCCCTGTCTTCGTGTAGCTTACATTCTAGTGTGGGGACATAAACAATAAGTATAATTAATAGATAAAGTATATAGTACATCATATATGTGGGGAGAGAATAAAACACAGTAAGGGGGATTGTACGTGGGAAGAGTAGTTGGGTTCCAATTTTAATAGGTGATCAGGGTGGGCCTCATTGAAAGGTGACATTTGAGACCAAACTTTCAGGAGATGAGGCAGTTAGCAGTGCAGATATCTGGGGAAGAGCATTCAAGCAGAGCCAACAAACAGAACAAAGATCTGAGGTAGGAGGACGCTGAATGTGCTTGAGGAACATTAAAGAGACCAGTGTGGCTGCAACTGAATAAGCATATGGGAGAAGAGCAGGAAAGGAGGGTAGAGAGGTAATGGGCCTAGAATGTATAGAGCCTTACAGGTCACTGTGAGGACTTGGTCTTTTTCTTGGTCAGTGGGGAATGAGTGGCTGAGCTAGAATGGAAGACAGGATCAATGGAAGAGCTCAAAGAACTGAGAGGCCGGGTTGTAGAAAGAATCCCCTATGATGTGTAAATTGAAATCGCCAAGAGACAGTGAGTGAGAGATGGGAAGCCACTGGGGGATTTTGAGCAGAGGAGTGACATGCTACGATTTATTTTTAAAAGAATCACTCAGGCTGCTCTGTTGAGAATACTCTCGGGAGTAGGGGGCATGCAAGAGTGAAATCAGGGAAACCCGTCTGTCTCGTAGTAGTCCAGTCCAAAGAAAACAATGACTCAGTTGAGGCTGGTAGCACTTGAGTCGGTGAGAAGTGGAAGGTAGAGCCAAGAGGATTTCCTGACAGACAGGATATGGGGAGGAGAAGAGGCATGAAATTAAGAGAAGAGTCAAGGATGACTGCAAGGTATTTTGCCTGAACAATTATAGGTTCAGCTTGTCACAACAAAGATGGCGACCACTGCATGTGGAGTAAATCCTTTGGTCAGGGAAGACGAGAAGTTTAAGTTTCGTCTTATTAAGCTTGAGATGTCTATTGGACATCCAAATGGAGACACGGACTCGGCAGTAGCACATAAGAACAGTGAGTTGAAAGGAAAGTTGACAATATAACCATAGGCTGCTTTAAAACATGTGTCTTTACAAAGGGCACGCCCTTTCTTACAAACAGGAGATAGGAGAACAAAAGGCTGAGTTTGGGTGCCCTCCAACATTAAGCGGTCTGCAAGAAGAGGGGGTAGCTGGTGGGAGCACGAGGAGTCAAGAGAAGGGTTTCGGAAGAGGGCAAACTAGTAGCATGATCTGAGTGATCCAGTGAGAAGAGGAGGAGAGTGATGATGTAGGAGAGACGGGAGAACTGCTACAGTGATGTCCTCGCGTGGGTGAGGGAGGATGGGACCAGCCAGCTCTGGACAGGAAGATGGATAATTCAGTATGAGTGCAGATGCTGGTGGGTGGGTAGATGCCGTGGCAGAAGTCTACAGTTCTCTTCTGATTTCTTTCATTTGTTTCAGTGAAATAGGAAGCAGAGCCATCAGCTGAGGTGTGGAGGTAGGAGGTGTTAGAAGTTTGAAGAGAGGAGGGTGTGAAATGTTTAAGAAAGTGGGAGAGTAAATGAAGTTGGGAAATGTAGCGGTAAGGTTTGTAAACGTATTTAAAATTGGGCCAATTAACATGATTATGTGTTTTGCAGCACTTAATTTCAGCCTCAGAAGTACAAGCATGGAGTGGGTGGAAAGTTGAATTTAACTGAGAATGTGGTTTTGACAAATGAGTTCGATAAAGTAAGAAAGACTCAAAGAAATGAGGATCTATACAAGGGGGTGATTATAATTACTAACCATGCAGTTTTAATCGAGTAAGGAGGGAAAGTAAGTCCTCAGGGGAGTGAGGGATAGCGAGAAGGTAGTAGGCTCAACGGATCAGAGGTTCCTGGTGGGAATCTCAGTAGGGCGAGTGCTCTTGAAAGATAAGAGGTGGTAGTCAGAGTATGTCGTGAATGAAACTAAGATTATGGAAGAAGCACAGTCATCCGTAATGGCAGGGTCAAGGATATGACTCTGGGGAGTGAGTGGCTGAGCTAGAATGGGAGACAGGTTCAGTGGAAGAGCTCCAGGAACTGAAGGCCAGGTTGTTGTAAGAGTCACCCAGGATGTGTATATTGAAATCTCCAAGAGTCAGGAGTAGATCTGGGGAGTGTGACATTGAGCCAGGAGGGAGGGGGAGCGGTGCTTAGTAGATGAGGACAATAATGAAGGGTGTGTATGTGTACATACCACTTGGCTATATAATTAGCTGGAATGAGATTAAAAATTGGGAGATTTTAAGGGTGGAGAGAAGGAACAATGGTGCGGAAGCAGCACAGAGTTGGGGCAGCTACCCCAACTCCAGGCCAGCGGAGAAATCGCCCCCCTGGAAATTGCCGCTGGCAGGCCAGTGTCCCCAGGAGAGAGCCAGATTTTGGTTAAAACAGAAGGTAGAGGGAACACTCTGAGAAGAGGGTAGAGAGGGGATGTTTCTTGTGATGTACTGTGAATTAAGAGGAAGTAGTGGAAGGTTTCCAGGATAGGGAAGGGATGGGAGGTGAGGAGCAAACAGAGGAATGGATTTCCTGAGATTTTGTGAAATGGGGCCTCAAGGCACTTCGTGTTGATGTTGGGAAGAAGAGAGTGGTGTGTGTACATATACATATTTATCTATGCTCGCAATAAGTTCAAATGTCTATGTCAAACATTACTTGTGTGATTGTAAATTTAATTATTTACTCTGTTCTATCTTATCTTTTTCTATTATTAAACTCAGTTTTCTTATGTAAGAAATCTGTAATGCTATCTTTGCTTCCCTCAACAAACCGCTCCTCCTTTTGAGTCCTCTCCCCCACCCCCTCTTTCCTTTTAATGGATGTGTTTATCCTTCGACCCAGCAGTCTCACTTCTGAGAGTCTGTCCTATTGCTATTCCTGCACATATATGAAATGACACACATAAAAAGTTATTCCTTGTAACATTATCTGTAGAAGCTAAACACTGGAAACAACTCTGTTGCTCAGCAGTGAGGGACTTGGGTAAGTTCACAAAAAGAATACTGTGTAGTTGAAAAAAGCAAGATCTTCAGTATATACTCTTAAATGAAGAAAGCAAGGAACCAAACAGTGGCTATAGAAATCCACTTTTTGTGTAAGAGAATGGGAAATAACAACTGTATATATGTTTGTATTTTCTTATATCTGCATGAACAAACCAAGGAAAAGGAAGACGTTAATAAAAGTTACATATGGGAGGGGGATTGGAATGGTGCAGACAGAGAGTGGAGTGAGACTTCCCAGCGCATAGACCTGTTTATATCATTGTGACTGCTCGACCACTTACACGCACTGCCCACTCAAAAATAATAAAGATATGTTTTAAAGATACTACCATTGTCTTGTCTTAACCAGTAAACTGGAAACTTAGCCATGTTATGCTCTTTCCCCTCCTGAGCCCTTCCCTCAATCTGTTTATCATCTCTACTTCCCCTAGTTTAGGACCTATTTTTCTCTTCACCGGCAGAGTTTGAAAAGTGTGGACCACAGTACCTGCTCCCACAGTCTCCCCAGTTGTCACCGTGAGCGTCTGGAAAGCTGATTTCCGCCTCTCTCACCCTGCTCCCCTGGACACCAGAGCTGGTGTTTGGCTCTCTCTCTTCATCCTTTTCAACTTGCTTATGGCAGTGGGCACCGATGAAGTGATGAAGCCCTGTGCCCTATCCCCTGTGGCATCGCCTCTCTGAGCTGTAAGGAGGGCTCTTTGGTGACTTTTTCTCTTTCCTTGTCTGGCTCCTCTTTTTCTACCACTTTCCGCACATGGGCATTTCCCAGTCTTCTGTGCTTGGCTATCTTTTCTTCTCGCTCAGCGTTTTATGGCTATCAGGTTCCTCATTTTTAAAACAAGCAAATGTGTATGTTTCTTTTAGAAAACTTTACTAAAGTATGAATTTTGTCCTCCCAGCAGTCTCATCTATCTATTTTCATATATTTGATCATCATTTCAATACCAATAACGATCAGTTCTTTTCTTCCAACTCTGATTTGTCTCCCAAGGTCCTGCATTTGCGCATGAAAGCCTACAAGACGTCTTCATGAAGATGTTGCTGGTGCTGATCTTGTTGTTGATGATGGTGATGATAACAAATATTTATTTAACACTTACTTTGTGCTAGGGACTATATTTAGTGATTGACATGTATCCTTTCATTTATAGATCACAACAACACTATAAGATGGATATATAAAGAAAGAGAAATTTAAGAAGGTTAAATGTTTTCTTTGTAGATAGAGAAAAGGGAATTTAAGGTTAAATCACACAGCTAGTAAGTGGCTGAGCTGAAATTCAACCTGGGTCTGTTTGACTTGAAGTTGGCCTCTTACCCATGATCCCCCCTTCCTCAGAGTTCCACGGTTCGTGTTTCTTTCCAATCCTGCTCTGCCCATTACAGTCCCTAATTCTGAAGATATCACTATTCTAGACACGAAGGCTTAAAGGATCTCTATGACCTTTTGTATGTCTAAGACTTAATCCATGCTGCCATACTATCAAATGCGAGATCCTTTTAATTCCATCTGCAGGAACTCTCCCTTTTGTCTGTGTTGGTCGGTTCCACTATCACTACATTTTCTCTCACCTGAGGAGTTTTAATCGTCTCCTCTGTCAGGTCCCTATCTCCATCCTTTCTGCACTTCCAGTACTACTTATACCCAACACAGCCTTAGTTTAGAAAATCAGAGCATTAAAGCTGCAACTGGCCTTACTTATTATTTAGTCTAATTTACTTAGGGTTCAACTAACTTGAGAGTAACTGTGGGACTTGCTCAGAGAAGACAGACAGGTAGTAACAGAGACAGCCACAAAAGTCAATATACTTGCTGCCCAGTCCACCAGCTCTGAATGTGGTTTTCTTCTGTTCAAAACCTGCTCTGTCTCCCATCACTTGCCAAATAAAGTATAAACCTCTTCACCTGGCCTTACGCCTTTGAAGATTAATGACCTACTTTTATAGCTCTCTTCCCCATCTATTCCAGTACTTCTGCTTATGTCCTAACCAGTTGGATTGCAATCAGTTCCCTCTGCTTTTCTGCCCCTCCCCACTTCTCTGTCTTTCCTCGAACTATTCCTCCTGTCTTCAATTGTTCTGCTTCAATCCCATCTCTTCTACCAAAATACTGCAGGTGGCTGTGTTCCACGAATCTCTCCAAACAAGTATGACTGTTCCATTCTCTGAACAACCAAAGCAACTTATCCCTCTCTCACAGCACCCATCTCGTGCTGACATGCAGTATCGTTACTGAATCAATCACCTTCCTTCTCCTGGCCACACTAGGTAATGAGTTTCAGGAGAACAAGTGGATCCTATTGATGTACCCACTGAAACAACTAGTGTGATGTTGTGTTACAGTGGTTACTTAATAACTAGTGGAAGAAAAAGAAGGTAGGGTCTAGGGTGACATTAGACATTTTCATCATTACTAAAGTTCTCCATTCTATAATTGAGTGGTCTTTCTTCAGGTGGTGATGACTACACATTTAGAAAAATCCTTCCTTTTTCTTCTTTTTGGAATGTGGAGAGAGTGAGGTAAGGAATATTTAAGTTAAATGGTCCTATTTTATTTCCATTATTAGCAAAATAAGAGTTTACTAAAATCAACTGACTCATTCATTTGGTATTTTATGGGCACTCAACTACAAACCAGAGATCTGCTTCCTAAGAGGAACATAAGAGTGCTTAAGATACCCAGACTGATCTCTCAGAGCACCAGATCCTTCTACACCAGCTGCCGATTGAATATTTCTGTTGGGATGGCCAGTGAGTACCTCAAACTCAACATGAATAAAATAAATCTTTCTCTTTTTCTTGCAAACCAGCTCCTCCTACTCCTGTGTTTCTAACTCAGCTAATTGTGTCATCATCCACTCAACTGCTCAGGGCAGAAATCTGGAAGTTATCCTGAACTCCTTCCTCTCCCTTAGCCCTCACATACCATTAGACACCAACTCCCACTGATTCTACCTCCTAAATATTTCTCAACTTTGTACATTCCTTAATCTCCCAGTTTCCATCTTTTAAATTCAGACATTTATCCTCTTTTATTTGCCCTGTTGCATTAGTCCTGTAGAAGAGCTTCTGGCTTCTAGACTCCCTATTTTTCAAACCGTCCTCATGATGCTACGAGAGTAAACTTTCTGAAATACAGATAAAATCATGTCACACACACATCCCACACACTTAAAATACTTCATTGGCTCCCTGTCATTTACATAACACCCAAGGCTTATAAAGTCCCATGCAATATCACTTCAACCTATCTTTCCAGTCACTCTGCTCAATGCCCATGTCCTCTATGTTCCTAAGTACCAACCCCAGCAATGCTTTCCATTTCCATATTAAGTTTTGCTTTTTAAACTCCTCCCTGCCTTTGTAGAAACTCTTTTACCTAACTATGATGCCCAACCTCATTCTCCCCCTTTTTTATTCTTCACAGAGCTTACAAGCTTGCTTAAGAGCAGTAGTGTCTGGTTCTAAATTGGGTTTATTTTCCACTACATCTGGTCTAAACCTTGGGCACAGTGTAGCTGCCTCACCCATGTAGTTCTGTGTAAATATCTCATATATACATAAACGAGAGTGTGTGTTCGTGAATCTGTCGTGAACGTTATATTTTTCTTGATTTTTACTGGCACGTCTATCACACTAAAAATTCTTGATGTGACTCTGACATTCTAAAAAGACTCTGTATCCTGTCACTGAATACAGGGAAGAAAAAGTAGAAATAAAGAGATGACTATCTAATGCTGTTAATGATTTTCATCCTTTAGTGATATTTTCAGAAGATTTGTAGAAAAGCAAAATAATGGGCTGATTTCCCTACAAGGGCACTTTTTGATGCTTCCTCTCTCTAGAATTTCAAAATATTCAAGTTAAATTATTTATATTATTGACAAAAGATCCTAGGAATCAGTGGTCCACACTATTCACTGAGAAAGTGTATTCTAAAGGATTTTGTAAATGAAAGAACAGCAGATTTAGAATCAAAACCCGGTTGTCCTTCCAGCTCTGCTGCAGTTGCTTTTGCTCAGTCATGTCCCTCATTCTGAGCTTCAATTTCCTCATTTGTAAAATGAGGGGAGTTGAATTAGTTTATTTTTAAAGTTCCTTCCAGCTCTGAAATTTCAAGACTTGATGTATGAACACAAAGCAGGAGAACAAATCCTGAGAAAGGTGAAACATTCTGCCCATATCTGAAATCTAGGGAGAGGGCAGTTACCTTGTCAATATTCAGAGGAAGAACATATCTCCTGACTTCAGGCTGGGGAGCTTTCCTGGCATTTTTTTTCACCTCTTCCCAGTTCTCACGTAAATTGGCTAAATATAAGTAATTATAAACAAATTCAAATCTGCAAAAATAAGAAGTCAAACATGAGCACAGACAGTTACAAATAATTTTAGAGAGATGACTCACGCCTTTTAAGAGCACAAGTGCCTGTCTGCTCTTTGTTCCCCAACCCAGAAACTGCTAATGGCCCAGGTATATTACAGCCATTTGTTCCTGCCCATGCTGGGTGAAAAAAAGCAACCTGCCTCACAGATGTTTAAATAACAGCAGCCTTTGATGCTTTCTGTTCTGCTTCTCCATCACCATTCTGCCTGTGTCTTTAGGGGCTACTGTCTTTTTAGTGACTTGGCTATTCTCAAGGAAGCATGCTTCTTTCTCCCAAACCCAGAGTGGGTTCAAGGACCTTCCAAAGGGATCTTGTCAAGTTTAAGTGGAGTTAAGTTTAAGTTCACTTATCAGGTCACAGAACCTTTTCTTTTCAGATCTGGTTCCTGGATCTGATTGGTTTTCAATCATTAACCGTGGTTTCAATGTTCAGTTTGTGAGTGTTTCTGATTACCTAAACTCCTTACTGCTTTTTCAATTATATTTTGCAACTTAAGCATACTTGCTTTTTCAGATGTAATTCAGGTTAAATATTGAGAGCAGCATCTCTGAAAAAGGCCCCTAATTTCCAGGAGCAAGTGGAGATGCAACATTTATCCAAGGTCCTTTCTTACCCTTTCCAGCAACAGAGATCCACGATCAGAAACTCATTGTCCTCATAAGTATTGATGTGATGGAAGAGATTAAAAGAAGAGGTCCTGTATTTATTATTGAGATACTTTCTCCTTTTTTTGTCAGCAATGTGAAGCCAAACCTTGAAAAATGAGGAAAATTCTTTGATGCATTTAAAAAGGAAAGAAGTGTGCATTATGAAACACACCTTCTTCAGAATCACACATCTGACAAATAAATGTAAGACTTACCCCCATGGTTTCATTGGACTCAAAACAATCCATGTAGTTGGCTCCCCAAAGACTCCATGAAGAAAGGAACTTGAACAGGTTAATTTTGACTGGTGTCTCCACAAACACAATATAGTTGGGCGTCAAACCAAAACTGTTCAGAAACACAAATAGACTTGTGAATGGGAAGGGCTGGTTCTCAAACCACAAAGAAATATGTACACATGAGTTATGTGCAGTTACATGAATCAACAGTGCCTACTCGAAATTAATTACATTTAAATTTAGGTTTCTGCAAGAAAATGTCATGATCAAGACTGGTATCAAAGGTAGGCAAAGCAGATCTTTAAACTTGAGTTTTCCTGAAGATTCAGAGCAGGCCTTCAAGTTACCTATGGACGTAAGATGGCTTGAATCGGTCACTGCAGGGGAATTGTACAACGACCTCTGACTTGCTTATTGGATCTTCCTTGTCTGAAATAAAGTGGTTTTAAAAGGCTTTGCAACAGCCTCTTTTTTTTTCTTTTTTAAATACAAAGCATTTAGAACAGCTTATGCAAGCAAAGAAATACATTTTCAGATCTTGATTTTTTTCAGAGCTTATTTTCATTTTCTCAGTCATTGGCATTTCTTAGCGAAATTTCATGTGAAGCTGCAATCACCCAGGAAAATCCAAATAGCAGCAGATTTGGAAAAATGCACTCAAAAAGCGTTGTGGCAGGCAGAGTGCAGTGGAGCCACATTTTACAGCTGGAGCTGGGTTCCATGTCAGGAGAGTAAGGCAAAACTTTAGTATGGCCAAAATGCCTTTTATAATCTCTTAGGCTGCCTATAAAGGATACTATATGTGGGTTTGTGTCAATAGCCCTGTACAGTAATTCTTAAGCACATGAAAGTTTATTTACTACTAAGTCAGTGGTCTTCAAACCTTAGTGTGCATCAGAGTCACATAAAGAGCTTCTTAAAATACTGACTGTGCGCTCATGCCCAAAATTACTCATTCAGTCTGCCTTGGGTGGGGCTCAGGATTCATATTTCTAATAGGTTCCCAGGTGATGCTGCTGGTCCACCGACTACACTTTGAGAACTATACTAAGCAATACTAAACAAAAATCCACATGTATTCAAATAATTCTATCATCAAGATGGTTATCAAATTTCTGGCAATGAATGGAGGATGAATGGAGAATTCTAAAGACTACTCTCTCTTCTGTTTTAATATTCTATCTTTATAGTATTAATATGAGTTAATAGATTTGTTTGTAGTTTTGGGAATTAAATACACACAGCATACTTAGTATACTCTCTTATGTATATGTATGTATTCTCTTATGCATACACGTGTTTGTTTAAAAATTTAATTTTGCCTAGCATGTGAATAAGTACTCAATAAATGTTTGCTGGATTTGAATCTAAGTCTTATAAAATCGACATATACACTGCATCTTTGAATCATTGCAGAATAGAACTTAGCCACTTGCTTTCTGTATTTTCAAGTTGTCATTTCCTGCTCTGGTGCCCTTGGGCATTGGTCCTCTGGTAGGGTAGGGATGAGGACAATCGTCTTGAAATCTGAGAGTAATTTAACTGTGCATATAGTGCTATCCTGATATTCTGATCTGGCATCCTGTATTTTCAGTAACTTTCTCACAATATAGATACTTGTTTTAAGAGGAATCAAATTGGTAAACTCACCTGCTTGTAGCGGAGGGATCTTTACAATATTGTAGGCAATTGAAAAATTTTTCCCAAAGCAGTTACCAATGTTGTAAACAGTTCCATCACTTTCGATGTGGGGGTGAGCAGTGGCTCCATTGACTGAGACATAGTTGCAAAGATCAACCTATGGAAGGAGAGCAAATGTCATGCAAGTTAAAAGAAAGGTAAAAGAAGGAACTTTGGTCCCTAGTTCTGACCTCACCGCTGTCGCTTGCACCCTCACTCTAAGGGCACTTTCTCTTTCTTTCCATCTGTCTGGGTCCTACCCTCTTTCAAGTCTGCCTGAATTTCCGTCTTCAGTACAGAGCTCTCCTCTGACCCCCACGGTGACCCCTCACGCCTCTGAAACCTTGGAGTTCTCCCTGGCTGTGCTCAATTGATGTATACCGTACACTGCTCTGGGTAGTTACTTTCCTTTTGCACATGCAAGTTGTCCTCAAACAATGATAAATTTGAATCCTGGGACTTTTTTATATTCCCCTTATTATATTAGATGAATTGTATGAAATTGCTGATAGTCAATAATTTTCGTTTTACAAAAATGTCAATTTTGTATGATATAACCTAAACACCAAATCGAATGTCTTGCACAGAGTATGGATCTGGTACCGAAAGGAACCCCAGGATTCATCCAGTATAGAAAGTCTTAACCTAAATGATATCAGGGGAACCATGAATCTCTTGAAATAAAATGCAAACGTTTTTGGAGAGAGGATTTAGCACTTTAATTCAATGCGGAGTCTCAGAAGATATTCCGAACCACAATTCTAGCACAAACCTCTCAGTCTACAGGAAAAATTGAGGTCCCAGAGAGGTCAAGTGACTTGTTCAAGGATACAGAGTCACACTTGGCAAAATCAGCAGTAGAATGTCTACCTGGCACCTGCTCAACAAAGATTTATTGAATGGATAATTGATGGAGTGTATATTTGTTTAACCAAAATTCTTTCTATTTGATTAGGAGAATATATTTTAAAGCATAGGGAGTTTTTAGCATCCTTATTTAAATAATAGGCAAGGCATTTGTTCATTCATTCATTCATTCATCAAGTACACATTGAGCTTCCATTATATGCCAGGCACTGTGCCAGGGTCTAGGAAAACAGAGACAGTCCTTTCTTTCAAGAACTTCAGTCTAGACTTGCTGTGCAATATGGGCCACATGTAGCGATTTAAATGTAAATTAATTATAATTAGATAAAACTTCAAAGTTAGTCACATTGGCCATATTTCAAGTGCTCTATAGCACTTGGACAGTGCAGATATAAAACTTTTCCATCATTGTGGAAAGTTCTATTTGATAGCACTGAGTTAGACCAAGAAGGTGGTATTCAGTGAGGTAGGTGCAAAACGTGTCTGTAGAGAAAGGCCGTCTAACCCAGATTGGGGATTAGGCAGGGCTTCCCAAGGCTGATGAAAGATGAGTAAAACTAATGCTTGAAAGACGGGTAGCAGTTGGCCAGGTGGAGAAGGATGACTGTGCTCCAGGGAGTGGGAACCCTAATGTACAGGCATAGAGTCATGAAAGAGCACCTGCTGTTTGAGGATTACGGGTCATTGGACGCGGCTGCGTGAAGGACATGCACAGAGGAGGGGAAATAGGAACGGGCCATCCACAAAGGCCCTTATTTGGACTTTATCTCCGAACCTATGCCCTAGATGGAGTAACATATTCATACTTGCACTTTAGAATAATTGCTTCTACTGAATTAAGGAAGTTGTGTTTAAGAGAATCAGGCTGGAGGCAAAGGCACTGGTGAGGAGGCTACTTCAGTAATAGTAAACAAAAAAATCTCAAATTTTTCGAACTACATTTTTATATGAAATCAGGGTACAGTGCTACTCACAATGGAACCTGACCCCTAATAAGGTCTATTCTGGACCCATGCTGTGAACTTCCCATTTCCAGTTAAATTACCATGGCAATTGGAACAGATTCACTATAAGAGTCAAAGGAATGGTTTAAAACCTCAGCTTCAGTTCTTCTCTCAATGATCTGCACACACACTCATATGTGGTTACAGACATACATCAAAAACATGGAAGTATTTTTCCATAGAACAATGAGAGTATGTTAAGCCTTGGTAAATAGTCTGTTGAGAATTATAAATCAGCTTGTGATGTTGAGACCCAGTGTTGAAACTATTTTTCCTTTCTATTCCTACTATACCAGATTTCTAGTTCTGGTCTTGAATTCTACCTAACTGGTCTCCTAGCTATCTCGTATCTCTTTTGCCCTCCCATACAGCTTACACATGGCTTCCAGATCAAATATCCTAAAGCACAGCTCTGCTTATACCAGTTCTCTGAGCAAAAGCTTTCAGTAGCTTTATATTAGCTAAACAACTTATTCCAAATTTTGTGCATTATTCAAAGTTCTAGCTTCACTCTACACTGTGTCCCACCTGACACCGCATGCTCTAGACCACTAGCTCTCAACTGGGGGGTGATATTATCCCCTAGGCGGAGAGTTGGGAATGTTGGGGAGCATTTCGGCTTTGTACAATGGTTGAGGGCATGACTGATATTTAAAGGATGGGATGCCAAACCTCGGCAATGTGTGGGACAGTCTCCACAATGATGAAGTACCTCCCACATAATCCCACTACTACCTCCATTGAGAAATACTGCAAATGTGCCAAAGAAATTATTCTTTAGTTTCCATGAGCATATCCTCTATTTTCCCTCTTCTATACCTCTAATCATGTTACTCTCTCTACCTGAAATGTCTTTTCTCCAAATTCACTGAAGTTGTGCCTCTCCTTTAACTTCTAACTCAAATGCAAGCCTTTTTAACCTTCTTTAATCTGCCCCACCTCACATCTTGCAACTACTGCTAGAAGTAATCTCTTTCTTCTCTGTGCTTTCATAAAAGATTTTCCTTCTCCTAAAGGACTCATCACACGGTGTGTCCTATTATAGTTAAGTTGTGTATTTGTTTGATTTGTCCATCTAGATGTTAAGCTTCCTGAAGACAAGAACGATGCCTTGGAAATAGTTACATCTTAATAAATATTGGTTGAAAATGTGGATCTATTTTATTGAATTGCCTAAGTTGTCAGTAAAATTTGTCACTTTCTAATATTGCTGATATTTTTCTCTATGCTATTTCATTTAAAATCTAGCTTTATTTCTAATAAGGAGTATCTTTAAGAAAGGGCAAATTGGTTCAACATACTTGCCTAGAACAATGAATAGCAGAGTTTTCAATATTAATAGCTGCAATATTTTGAGCACCCAGTGTGTGCCAGGTCCGCATTAGCCCATAAGAGCCATGTACGGCAGGGAACATGTTACCTTACTCATTGATGTATCCCTCACATCTAGCACAAGTTCTGATACATGGAAGGGACTCAAGAAATATTCGTGTCACAAATCAATGAATGAATACGTTAGGCATTTTATAAGGTTTTCCTCCAATCCATATAATGTGTTTAAAATTTCATAGTTGAAGAAACTGTGAAGAAAGTTTGCCCTATGTCACATGGCTAGTAGTTGATGAGAAAGCAAGGATTTGAAACAACCTAACTGGTTCTCATGTTCTTTCCACCAAATTGACAGTTGATTTAATTCTAAAAGTTGCAAATTCTAAATTCTTGAGCAACGTCTCCTCAGCACTGTGTCCTACCTGCTTAATTGTCTCCAGGGTCTCGGGATTAATCTTTGTAATGAAGTTGGTCTCTGTGCAGGCATAGTAATCTTCCCCCACTGGGTAGATATTAACGAGGGCATTGTCAGTAACCTCCACTCCACGAAAGTAAGAAAAAAACCTGCAGAAGCAAATGGATTTTTCAGTCCAGTAGCTTTCAAGCCATGAGAGAAAAAGAGCTAATGTAAAATGTCTTTAATAACATGCAGTTGGGTTTCAGTAACCTGGAAAATATATTCTTGCAGGGATCTGGGAAAGCACAGGTGCCAAATTCTGTTATGACGATCCTTTTCTCAGTCATTGCCCGTACATAAGCATCAGTGCGGATGAACCTGAAGGACATTGAGACACAGGAAAGGGTCTTAGACGGGGCAATCAGTGTAGTCCACGTGGAGCTGAGAACGGTCATTCTGCGTATCCTCATCAAGTCGGAATCATAAACCCACAGCATGAAGAATGAAGGGTATTATCACATCCCTTTTCCGGGGCGACCAAGAGAGAAAGAGACAATGTGCTATGAGCTTAAATTTATGTCTTATAAACCTCACAGTGACACATGTAAATTGAGGCTCAGAGAAGTGAAGTGATTGGCATATGTGGCCAAACTGGGTTAGAACTCAAGTTGTCCAGAGCCGGAAAACATGCATTTTCCACAGCACACTATGCAGCCGCCATGCGTAGTTCACATAGGACCTCTGACTTCTTGTAGCCTATAACCCATTAACCTACGCTTAGCTGGGAAATACGGGACGCGGTGTGCTGAACTGTATTCCTTTCAATCTCTGTATCTCCCTCTTTCTGTTTTTCTTCAGTTTTAAAATTTATTTTGCTACTTTTAATAGTAGGTACTCTTGAATCCAGTTGCTTGCACAGGCAGGCCTCCTGAACCATATCCCAGACTAGATGACATATGTTGCCTAGGATTTCTCATATGAGAGCCAATTAAAATCTGATTTTGCACTTCCTCCAATCCAATAATAAGTGTTTAAAATTTCACAGATGAAGAAACAAAGTCATGAAGAGGAAAAAGTACCAAGGTGTTGGCATATGAAAGCTTTGTCTGACCTCCAAAATAGCTAATTTTTTGATTGACCTGATCTGTTTCTCTTCTATTACAGTCCAAGTGATCCTGACTACATCAAGCTTCCATTTACTCCTCCTTTTGATGTCTCTTCAGGATGCTTGACATCTATGGTGATCAACAAAGCCACCAACAGGCCTAAATATCAGAGCATAACACAAACTACCTATTGTGGTGTTAATGGGGCTTCCTGGAGTGCTGGCTTCGGCTTACAAGCCTTTCAGCGACAATCTCCTGTTTTTAGCAAACCTTTTTTTCTCGTATCATTATGATATATTTGGTTCTTCCCTCCACTGTGGCTCCCCTACCTCCTTCCCTGTAGCCTTTCTGATTATAAAAAAGGAAAGGAGTCAAGAGAGCCAGTGGTCTAATAATAATAACAATAACTATAATAATAACCATTATTATTACTGAATACTTCCTACCTGCCAGGAACTATGTTCTCATTTAATCCTTGTAATGAACCCTGAAGTAGATTCTATTATTTCCCATTTTAGAGATGACAAAACCAATAATTAGAGGTTAACGTCTTGCCGAAGTTTGTACCCCTAGGCAAGTGGTGTCTGGTAGATACAGGATTTGAGGCCAGGCATGTTTGGCCCCAAAGCCCTAGTTCTTAGCTTCTTCTCTATTCCACAGCACAGCTCCCAAGCGTCCATGCAGGTGCACTGGCCCAGGTGGATTCTGAGAGGAAGCGAATATATAAATCCCCTCTTGGGTTCAAGAGGTTGAGAAGCTGATGGGAGGAGGAGCAGAGTAGGCCCCAGCCCTAGGAGGAGGAGTTGGACCCAGCATTCCTTTACCTTCTGTGGTAGGTGACGTGTCCTTCTTTAAAGTCAAACTTGTGCAGGAGGGCTTGCCCATCAAACAGGTGGTAAAACGGCTCAGATCCGACTTCAAAGAGTCCCGGCCCACATCGGAGGAGACTGCCCGTGAGCCAGAGGGGGATCCTGCCTGTGATGAAGGTGAGACACAGAACCTTGCTTCTTACCCCTGCCCTGGGCTGGCCTCGTCCCTGGCGAGGCCAGTGATTCTATTAGCAGCCCAAATGGGCAGCCTCTTCTTTATTAAGCTGGCAGTGATTGGCATCTCCAGCTCTCATGGCCGGCAGCACTTAGAAAATGTTTGCTGGATTGACTCTCCTTTCACTGGCAGACCAAGTGGTGGGAAATGTGGCAATGCCTGAGTATGGACAAAGGGTTGGAAGGAGAACGGGAAAAGCATTTTGAGGGAAATGAGATTCTCCACCTAACAGATTGCCCGAGATACCAAAACACTTGCCTTTTGACCATCTCTCTTCTAAGAAGACCGTCAAATTTCTTAATATGTTTTGATGGAGTGAGGGGTAGGAGGGATGGATTAGAAGCAGGGATCAAGATACTAAAAAAAGATGTGTCTATAGAAGAAACTATTTAAATGAAACAACAAGAATACTGGCTTTTTTTTTCCGGGCCGGCCTCGTGGCTTAGCAATTAAGTGCGCGGGCTCCGCTACTGGTGGCCGGTGTTTGGATCCCGGGTGCGCACAGACGCACCGTTTCTCTGGCCATGCTGAGGCCGCGTCCCACATACAGCAACTAGAAGGATGTGCAACTATGACATACAACTATCTGCTGGGGTTTTGGGGGGAAAAAAAAAGGGAGGAGGATTGGCAATAGGTGTTAGCTCGGAGCTGGTCTTCTTCAGCAAAAAGAGGAGGATTAGCATGGATGTTAGCTCAGGGCTGATCTTCCTGACAAAAAAAAAAAAAAAAAGAATACTGGCTTTTTAAAATCTAGATTTATATTCTTTTCAGGGTATGGGCTACTTCCAGATGAAGTTAACCTGCTGTAGCAGAAAGTACACAGGGCTGGGTGTCAGAGACCTGGATTCTGGGTCATGGTCTGCCACATGCCATCCCTGGGCCTCAGTGTCCTCATCTGCACAATGAGGGGTGCATAGGAGAGGCACTGGGGCCCTACAGTTTAAACAGTTACCTTTGTGCCTTTTTTTCCTTTGAAAAGTGCAGTGTTTGGCAGTGTTTGCTTAATCCTTATTAATTTTTTTTTTTTTAACGGATTATTTCCTACGGCTCAATTTCAGCAGCCCTCTTGATAAGGATTTACATTTCTGATAAAAACTTTAAGAAGGCATGGCTTAGCTAAAAGGCACAGCATTAATTTGTTTGCTGGAACCTGGATTGTTAGTGTCAGAATGTAGTTGAGACAGAGCATTCTGCTCATCCCTTCTGTTATACAGAAGAGGAAACTGAGAGGAAAGACACTCACCCAGGCTTTGGCTGGTCCCATAACACCACATGCAAGCAAGGATGCTGGCCGGGTCGTATGGCGTCCTTGGATAATGACAACAGCAGTAACAGACTACCACTTATTGGTCACTTTGTGTCGGATAGTGGGCGAATCTTCCTATTTACATTATCTCATTTAATCCCCACAACATCCCCAGGAGGTGAAATTTGGTTTTTGGTAGGTGAGGGAATTGAGGCTCAGCAAGTTTAAGTGACTTGTTGTAGGACTCACAGCTATTCAAATATTAGAGCTGTGATTAGCACCCACATCTGCCTGACTCCAGAATGAAGACTCTCCCAACATAACGGGCACGAAACCCACCACCCTTTATTGTAATGTTTCCAGATGCTTGTCACCAGTCCTCGTTTATCCAAATACTGATGGGACAGACATTTATGGCACATTTACTAGGGGCCAAGCGCTGAACCAGGCACTGACAGTTAAAGATGGAAAAGATGTAGTCCCAGTCCTCAAGGAATTCCAGTTATGTAGCATTTTTCTACATTAGAGAAATAAAGAAAAGGTAACTGAGAGGCAATGGATTCTTGGTATAAAAAGCCCCAACCTCCAGCTTCCCCTCTCTGTAGCCCACAGGGGGAACCAGTACTGAGAGAAGCCAATGAATATGAAGCCAGAGAAGATGGACCTTGATGAAAAAGAGAGGATGACTTCCAGATCAGTGAGACCAACCTGTAACGTGAGCTGTGAGCGGTGAGGACAGTTCCTCCACAGTTTCAAACAGTTTCTTGTAACCAGCAGCCGGATGCTCGACTCTGAAATGGTGGAATAATGAGGAAGAAGCACGTGCCATGTTCAAAGAAGACAGAGGCAGCGCTCCAGGGGAAGAGGCGCTCTCTGGCTCAATGCCCATGCACCATGGCTGGTCTAACCTTGGCTTGGGGGGATAGAAACAGATCAGGTTTGCAAGAGGGCCTGGGTCAGGGATCCTCCTTTGATGTCAGGGGAAATGACCTCCCTTTTAATGTCACAGTGGACTTAATTCTTCCCTCTGCAGTTTCCCCAAGTTTCTGACGACAAATCAATGAACGCTGCTGCTATCGCTTCTCACCCCGACAGAGTCCTCCCCACAGAATCACCCCGCCCTGTCGCTGCTCTCAGCGCTCTGCAGCGTTCATTCTCTTGCCTTACAGAGAGTCTCTTTCCTCTCCCTTCTATGAGCTGGGAGATAACAGCTTTTCGGGTCAGTCCCTCGTCATTTGTTATTTACCCGTGTTATACCGTCATCACTTCCTGTCCTCTCATTTCTTCACCAATCTCCAAGAGCTACAGTGCTTTGTAAAAACAGTCAGACCAGGAGATTCAGGTTTCGTATTTTTGCTTATTTCCCGCCTCTTCACTTTGGCTCCGTTTTCTAACTTCTTGGAGTGGGAGCTCTGACCAGATGCTCTAATTATGATAGTTATCTTTTATTAAGCACTCACTACGTACCACACACCGTCAAAAGAACTTTGCACGCCATTTAGCTCATTTAAATCTCACAACACACAATGGGGTAAGTACTACTCTTATATTCATTCTATAGGTAGAAAAACCTTGACTTCAAAAAGTGAAGTAATTTGCCCAAAATCACACAGCTAGGAAATGACTGGGAAGGAAGTGGAACCCTGGTCTGCCTCCTTGAAATCTTCATGCTCATAGCTGCTTCCAAGGCCCATTCTAAGTCACACAAATCCCACTGTAATTTAGACCTGAATTCCAGACATTTGCTTCAATGTATAAATAGGAAGAAACTCCTCCCACCAAGACTCAAGGCCTTCCCTAAACAGGTCATCAGTCCTCTTCAGGAGCTCTTGAAACCACCCATTTACCATCAACCCACTAAGGCATTTTAAAAAATGTCTCAGAGGTACTTACTGGATGGACATTTTCTCTCTGTGGAGGATTGAGAGTTCTGGTATCAACTGCGGGATAAGGAAGCAAGTCCTCAGCCAGGGGCCTTTATGTGCCTTCTAAATCCCCCTCAAAGGAGTCATGGCTTGGGAACCCGTCCCCACCCCCTCAGCTGTGGGAGGGGAACAGAAGTGGCTTTCAGTGCTCAGATCCTCCTGATGCCTGAGCATTATTTGGGCTTGCCGTTCCCATAACAGTTTTTTGGCTGTTCTCCAGAGTCCTCAATCCTTCCCAAAGAGAATGAGAAGTGGATTAGAAAGAAAGGAGCTGTGTGGGAGTGGCTAGCATCAGGCCTGAGCTGATCCTGGTCACCCCACTGGGACCTGGCACCATTCTCCCGCACCCACCTCCCTCTACCACCTCTGTGCCCTCATCTTCACCCTCATTTATTCATTCACTTATATTTTTTAAAACATCTATTACACGTTGTCTATGGGCCAGACAGAGATGGGCACCGTCCCTATCTTCACAGATCTTGTAACTTGGCAAGGATAACAGGAAACTAACAAACTATTCAATAAAATTTTGTAAGTGCTACAATTGGAGAAGTATGCAGTGTTATGGAAGCACACCGAAGCATCTCCAACCCTTTCCAGTCACTTTATTGACTCCATTCGGTGCCCCAATTCTAACCAGGCTGAGGGCTTGAGCTATGTCCTTTGATTTCATGCTGAGGATGAAACTCTTTTCAGATCCTTCCTTGTCACTAACACTTGCTTGCTCTCAGCCTCACCTTCCTGTTCATTGGTTTGTGTAGATAGCACTATTTCGTTCATATTTCCATAAGCCTCAATTGCAGAGCCTTGTAAACTATGTAATGAAACCAAGACCCAGATCATGAGACCAGAGGGAATTACTGAAATGTTTTATCTAGAAGAGTGACATGATCTGATTTGCATTGATTAAGACCACTTTGATTACATTGTGGACAATATGTTGGAATGGGAGATTTGGGCAAGATAAATTAGAGAGAGACCAAACAAGTGGAGGTAGCTGATGTAGGGGGTGCACCGGGGATGGATATGAACAGTCAGATTCAAGAGATATTTCAGAAGAGGACTGATGAAAGTTTGTGATTGGTGAACGTGTTGGAGAAATAAAAGGCAGAAAAAGGATGACCACTAGGTTTCTGGCTTGAAATATGGTATAATTCACTGAGATAGTGCACACTGTGTGAGAGTGTGTGTGTGTGTGTGTGTGTGTGTGTGTGTGTGACGTTTCAGTGATGCAAAGAGAATGAATTCTGATTTTGATACATTTATTAAAGAAAGATCACTGGATGCTGTGACAGCTTGAGGGCTTCACAAGGAAGTGGAGTGAGCTGGAGTCTGAAGGCTAGGCAGGGAGTGGACGCAGAGAAGATGGAGAGGACATTCCCGGTGAAGGGAGCAGAGTGAGAGAAGGCAGAGCACGCACTTCGAGGGGCACATGTTAGAAGGACTTTCCATCTCCTGCACCGTTTCTGTAGGATTTCCTTTTCTCAGGAGCGTCTCTTCTCCTTGAGTAGAGTTACGGGCCATGTTGCGATACCTGTATACCGTCAGTCCACGGAAGAGAAATTCCAGAAATATCAGGACCAGCTGCCTCTCTTCACTTTCCCCTCCCTTTACAAGAGGCCAAAGGAGAAGGCTTGGTGGCAGCTAGGTGCCTGGAAACCTACACTAGCGGAGTGATGGAGCACTGACACTGCACTTTGTGTTGAAGAGAACTTCCTGGAGATGAAACCCCCTTACTGGTGCCCTGACTGTGCCACATGCCTTTCTTAGGCATCCTTGTCCTGCCTTTGGTATTCTGGGGCTGTCACCATGTTGTTTAAAAACAGGAACTGATTTTAGTGATTTTTCCATTTTGTTTTGCATCTTTGGTAGCCTTTATTTTTCAGCCTATTTTGATCCTAGAAATCAGCTGCTTGAGGGCTGTTTTAAAAATACAAATCATGATAATTCATTCTTGGAAGACTTATAGACTCATGGATCATATGAGTCATCAAGTCAGCATGCTGGATTAAAGTCATGATGAAAACGAATTACTGTGCACTGAACCTCACTGAACTCCGAGTTCTTCAAGTATCAAAGAGGCAAGTATGCAACCACATTTTTTAGCCAAAAGGACTCTATACAAATGTTAAGTAATACTTACCAATGCTCATTCTCAGGGAGTTTGATTTCATGTCTAATCTTCAGCTAATACCTCCTCCGTCAGGGGTAACCCATTTCTCCTCTTCTCCTTTTGGTGTCAAGTCAGAGAACAGCTGTGCTATATCCTTTCCAAAGCATCGTTTTGACCTCTTGGCTCCTAAAGCCCCAAATGTAAGCCTCTTTTTCAGGTCTAACTGTATCCTTCTGTCATTTCAGGGTTATACACTGGATAGCCAATGTATTGTTACTTTTTCTTTCGTCCTCTCCTCTTATTCTCCACCTTAATTTTTTGTTATTTGGTAATCATATCTTTATGTTCAATTTCTGCGTCTGCCAAAGAAACTGTTTCATTTTGATACATTTTGGTACATTTACCAAAATAACATTCCATGAATTGAAACAGTAAAACACTTTTCTTCAAGCAGAGTTCTTTTTTTTTTTTGTGAGGAAGATCAGCCCTGAGCTAACATCTGTGCTAATCCTCCTCTTTTTGCTGAGGAAGACCGGCTCTGAGCTGCTATTGCATCTATTGCATCTATTGCATCTAATAGCATCTATTGCCAATCCTCCTCCTTTTTTCTCCCCCAAAGCCCCACTAGATAGTTGTATGTCATAGTTACACATCCTTCTAGTTGCTGTATGTGGGACACGGCCTCAGCATGGCCGGAGAAGCGGTGAGTCGGTGCACGCCCGGGATCCGAACCCGGGCCGCCAGTAGCGGAGCGCGTGCACTTAACCGCTAAGCCACGGGGCCAGCCCTCAAGCAGAGTTCTTATTAGGAACTGATTCTACATTTCTTTGAGGAAACTATTTTTGAGAGTATAATACAAGCTACTTTTTCATCCTGGTATTTGGCAGACCACAGAGGGCTTGGAGGTCATGGTGAGGAGTTTGGGTTGTATTCTGAAGGCAATGAGAAGATATTACAGGGTTTAAGCAGGGGAATGACTGAGGTGATCTGATTTATGTTTTGGAAAAAAAAATCACTCTACCTGATATTTGAAGAATGAATTATAAGTGTCTCGAGTGGAAGCAGAGAAAGCAGTAGTCCAGGTGGGGTGATGACGGTTCTTAGACCAGAGTGGAGCAACGCAGGTAGAAAAAAAGTGAATAGATTTGAGATTTGTCTTGCAGGTAGAAGTACAGGACTTGTGTGATATAATTAATACATCTGGGATGTAAGAAAATGGAGTAATGGGGCATATCATTTATCTATTTCTAATATTGTAGCATAAAAATTAAACACCAAACCTCAGTGTCATACAACAGTAAGTGTCTGGGATGGTTGGCTAGTTAGATCTGCTGATATTGGCTGGACTTGCTCTCATAACTGGACTTAGCCTGGCTATCAGCTGATCTAGGTCTCAGCTGGAATGACTGGGGTAACTTGACGACTACATATGTCTCCTGTCTGTTAGGGTAGCCTGGGCATATCCTCCTGGCAATGGCAGAGATGAAAAACCTCAGGTGAAAACATGAAAAACTGCTTAAGGGCTGGGCTCAGAACTGACACACTGTCACTTCCACCACCTTCTTTTAGCCAACACAACCATGAGGACAGCCCATGCTTCAAGGGGTGTGAAAATAGCCTCTGCCTTTTTAGTCTTTAGTGAGAACTGCAATGTCACAGGGCAATGTCATGCCTACAGGGCAAGAGGAAGGATTGGGGCCATTTGTGCAGCCTGGTATATAGGAGAACCAAATAAGATTTTTAGGTTTTTGCTTGAACAACTGAATGAGTGTCATACTATTCTTTAAGACTAGGGGAGAAGTGGTTGAGTGGAAATGGGTATATCAAGTGTTCCCAATTAAATTTGAGATA